GTTCAGGGGGAGTCCCGCGAGCGGAGGGTAGCTCAGGGATAAGGATGAGCCGAGGGTTCAGACGCGCCGGGGACCTCCTGCCCAGGCTTTGCTGCTCCGGAGAGCCGGGGCGCTTGCTGGGAGCCCTCGACCCGGCACATCCCCACTGCTCTCCGGCACTAATGAATCCTCCCGGTGCACGTGGGGCCGCCACAGCCGATGAGAAGGCAAATAATGCCCTGCAGGAAAGTGGCTCAGCCCGACGGCTGAAGCTCGAGCAGGAGATTAAAGGAGGGCAGGAAGGAGGCCAGGAGCAGCCCTGGGAATTGGACGGATCCCCCCAGGAAGCCCCCATGCTCTCCCGGCTCCACAAGCATCCCTCCCTCTAGAAAAGGGCCAGAGGCTGCAAATAACCCAAATTACGCTTGCAAGAGCTAACCCACGCTGAGGAGCAGCTCAGCTGTCGCAAAAGGAGGACGGAGCTGTTTCCCCGTGTCCCCCCTGCCCCAGCTTGGTCACGGGGGTCCCCGGTGACTGCCCTCCGCCCCGTGGCATGGTCTCCCTCCCACAACTTTGCCTAAAAGGACCGAGCCATCCCGACATCCCCGAATGGAGCTTGTCACCTGCAGCAAGCCAGGCTCATCCTCCCGGAGCTGTGCACACCTCAGCCCCCTCCGGAGAAGGGACACAATAGGGCCACCACGTCCCCTTAGTGCCCGGCGCGAGCAGTGGGGACCACAAGGGTCCGACAAAGAGCTGGGCTTGTATTTCTCGGCGAGATGGCAGATCGGCTAAGCCTCAAACCTGCTCTTCCTGAGCACACCCAGCGTTATCAGCCAGCATCTGCGGTTTGGGAGGCAAGTCAGCAGTTTACAGAGCACTAAATATATCTGTAAAGTATCTGCCAAATTCCATCAATCTTTTTATTTTACGCTGCGGAGAGAAAATTACCAAGTGACTGGTCAGAAATACTCCTGATCTGGAATCAACCTTCTCTCCCCTAGCGCTGGTGATGGGTAGGAATAGGCAGCATTCGGGGGGACGCACCGTGCCCCGAAGGGAGCTTTGAGGGTGGCGGGAGCTGCGGCAGCGATCCACAGAGCACAGCCCGGGGCAGGCAGCACCCAGGAGCTGCAGCCAAGGGCTTCTCTCATTATACCAAGTGAAATCATGCAGACGCGTACGAATTGAATGGGAGAAAAATCTATTTCCCTGGCAGGGAAGCAATGGGATGTTTAGTACTGAGGAACAACTGATTTAAGAGGGAAGGAAAAACAATTCCCCTGGTTTCCATTTCCAGATCCATTATTGCGGCCCCAGAAAGAGACGTCACGGGCTGTGGGGAAGAGGCGATGCTCAGCAAGCGCTGCGAG